AGTGTGTTTACTTGGCACTGGGGCCCTTGGCACTCATCTCTCCTGGCCCAGGGATGCATTCCCCTTGCAGCCATGAGCCTCGGGCTCTTCAGTGAAGGGTGGGCAAAGACACTCAAGGGCTCTCAAGATACAGAAAGGCACTTGGGGAACACCTTCAGTGAGAGTCAGAGAGGGGGACAGGCCAACTCCTTTTGTGCTGTTGCTGCTGCCCCCCTCTCCCTTGCTGTCCCATTAATACACATAGGCCAGCCCTCTCCCTTCAGCCATTGTGTACCCTGTAGTTTTCAGCCCAGTCCTTGGGCCTAACTATGTCAGCTCCTAGTGAGAAACAGATGAAGCAGTGCTTAGCCTCCTGGTCTGGGGTGCCCAGCACATAGTCCCTCAGGGACTCATCTAGAACTTCCAGGGGCCAAGTGAGCTTCATTGAGAAGGTCACAGAGTAGTGGCAGGTGGGGCAGAGGCAGATATAAGCAAGCTCTCTTCCACCCACACACCCATCACTAGCAAGACCTGGCCTCACTACACAACCAGGCAGGGCCATGGCAGGGGGATTTATATGGAACTGCCTTCCCATCACATGCTAAGGTATGGCTGTTCTCACCTTCCTAATCTCCCTGATGGACAAGTAGCCAATGCTTGTTGAACCAAGCCACCTCAAGCAGTAGGATGGCTTTGCAGCAGGAAGGGGGTGCTTTGTCTTATGCAGCTGGGAGCTCCTGCAGGGTCTAAAAGCCTGGCTTCCTTGGTTTTCCTTAGCCCAGTCAGCACTTCTGGCCTTTGGTTTCTTTCACAGCCCTGGTCCTGGAGGAAGGGGAGAAGCTTGAACTAGGGAAGGTGGTGACTAGTGTCCCCAAGGGAGGCTGGGCACTCAGACTGAGCTGGCTTAGCTGCTGTGCCTGTGGTCTCCAGAGCCAGGTGTATCCTTGGGTATCCTGGGTCCTTGCTGTGGGAGGTGAGATTGCTCTATGGCTACTTGGCCATGGAGTCCCCACAGGAGTTCAGTCCTCTTCTCAGTGCCCCCATGGCAGAGCCCTGCGCTGCCAGCGTAAAGGCCCTCAAAGGTGTTATCCTTCTTCCCCTGGGGGCTCTATGTTCTCCTTGTGCTAATGGAAGGAACCTCAGACTGGATGGGGGTGTGGAGGAGATGTTGAATGGGTACATAGGTGGCTGGTAGGGGGGATTTGGGGGGGCACTTGCCCCCCCTGACAGCTGGTGGCATCTGTGGGTACTCGCCAGCTCTGTCCCCACCGCCTCTGCCACCGCCGGCTTCTGTAGCTTCTCAAGCAGGGCAGTGATAGAATATCAGGTGGAGGTCTAGGCCCATGGTGAGATTGGAGAAGTGCAAGTGAAATGTCCCAGAGGGCAGAGTGGCTGAGAGATGGGAAGAGGTCCTCCAGGGAAGACAGGCCCTTATTTGTCCCAGCCAGGAGAGCCAGTGCAGGAGCCAAAGGTTGAGCTGGCTCCCCAGGAGAAGGGAGGGAATTGTGCAGGGTGAATCCGGTGAAGCCAGCTTTCGAGACCTTGGATAGGAGGAGAACCTTCCTGGGAGGTGGGGAACCTTCCAGTTCAGCATCTGTCTGTTCCCCTTATAGTTCAGGTTCTGCCCCTGCTTCCCCATCCTGGGTCTGCTCTTGTTCTGTGCCTGCTGCACCCTTGTGTCTGACTGGGTCTTTCTGGGCCTCATCAATTGGCACCACCCTACTGGGAGCCCCACTCAGAGTATGGGCCCTACTTGGGTCTTCACTCCAGCTCAACTCATGGAGCCAGGGCAGCTTTGAAAAGTTGGTGACATTTTCTCCTTTGCTTCATGTGAGCTATGGGATGGCTGGTGGCTGGGGTGCAAATGCCATGGTCCATGTGGGGCCTTGGGTGGGGCAGCATGGGACCACCTTAATTGAAGACCTGTTGGCAGGCGCTGCCAACAGTAGTCTCACAACCCTTCTGATTGCAAGCGGCTGTGGACCAAGACTACTCTGCTCACAAAGTCCATGCCCAGGCAGCTGGTTAGCATGGGGTGGGAGCCTTCTGGGCCTCCTGGGGGATTGATCTGATGGTGGCTCCTGCTGAGATCAAGGCCTTAGTGTGTTTGATGCCATGCAGGCACATGGTGAAAGGCCAGTCCCAGTCCCAGTGAGCTGATTAGCAGAAGTAACATGGCCAAGTAGTTTGAGCATGACCTGGGGTGAGCAGTTCTGAGTTTGACTCCCTGCTCTGCCCAGCCCTCTGTGCCCCAAACCATGTCTCTGAGCACCTGTTTTCCTGCCTGCTAAATGACAATAGAATTTGCCTGGCAGAGGGCTGGTAAGTGTTAATGTTTCTAATGCACTTAACATTATCAACCCTTTTGAACTTGTAAGATGGAGGCCAAAGAGGGAAGCCAGGCCTCCAGCAAGTGACTGGTGTCCTAATTAACGATCCCTGTGCTGCAGAGCAAACTCTAAGGTACTGCAATCAATAGGAGCTGCTGATTGCTCTTCCTGAGCGCCTGGAGTGAGCGATGGATTGTTTACCCCGCGGAGACGTGCTTCCTGCAGGTGAGAGGGGCTGACTCCAGAGAACCCACTGAGCGGTATTTCTGTTGGACAAGATGTAAATGATTGTATGCAGGGAGCTTCTGATGGGAGTGGCTGTGGACCCAGCTCTGACAGCCTGTCAATTCTTGCCCTTTACAGAAAAATGAAACAAATTGCGAAGTAAATATACCATCCTGGAAATATCCCGGGGGGAAGAGGTGGGGGGAGGGATGGATCCACTGGACCTTGCTTCCTGCCACTCTGTCTTTTTTGCGGTTGCTTTTCTCTGTGCCCACTTTGGATTCTGCACCTGCTTTGCATGGATATGAGTTATCACTGATGGTGCAGATCAATGGAGATTTGGGCCAGTTATGGCTGTAAGGTGCCATCTGTTTACATGGTGCATTTGCAGAAATAGAGAAATGTGGTCTGTACTTCCAAGAACCTCCAGTCAAACCTGGATAAACAAAACCTGGGAGAGCCCAGGAGCTACGTCTAGAGGTGTTTGGGATTTGGCACATCACAAAAAGTTTTGCCCCAAAGAAAATGTTCCAGATGTTTCCAGCTGGACACACTCTCCCCAGATCCATGGTTCTGACATTTTCCTGCTGTGTCAGTCCCAGTGCTGGGGATGTGAGAAGCTTGCAGGGTCCCTGGCCTTGAGAGACTTCCCGGGGAAGCTTGCTCTGGAGCTGGGGTCCCTGGGAAACCCCTACAGCTGCTTGCAGAAATTGTTCTTCTTCTTAACTCAGTAGTGAAACTGCCAAGAATAAGCAGCAGCAGGGACCAAGGAGCTTCTTGTGCAAGAAGACTATACAGACTTCTGATTGTAGCTTAATTCAGACTGAAACCAGGTTCTGATGCCATGAAACACTCTGCAGCCTGGGAACTCTCCTTTTGGGCTGACTCCCATGCCAACCAATCCTGGTTCATAACGGATAATCTGTGCCATGCTACTGTTGCAATTCAGCTTTGTATTTGGGCTCCTAAATTTTCTTGGAGATTTCCATGATGGAAAAATCTCCAGGTAACCCATAGCTAGCATGCTGGCTCTGGTATACCACACACTGTCATGGGTTGTAGCCAGGAGACCTAGGGAGTGGCTGGGAGTGCTCCTTCCTACTGGAACAGCCGTCTGCGGCTGGTGCAATTTATTAGAATAGCCCTGAGGTGTCTCTAAGCTGCTCCTTTGAACCTATGAAGCTATGACGGCTGTGTGGAGCCAGTTTGTAGTTGCCTCCAAGCTGCACCAGATGCAGAAGGGCTGGTCCCAAGGTCTGTTAGAGGCTGGGGCATGTTGTGAATGATGCTTTTGCAGTCTAGCAGGTGTTTGAAAATGCAGGCTATAGTGTGGGTCTTTGGGGGAGCAGGGACATCCAGCCTGGAAGCTCACAGTGGGAAGCAAGAGACTGAGGCTTATGAAAGTGGCTGCATAGGGGCTCCCTGTTGATCTGCATCAAAAATTCCAAGTGATGGTGCAGGGTCAGTTACCCCTGCAGTGACCCAGTGGGGCTATGGAAATGCCTGCATTGGGGCTTCCCGTTGTTGAACTCCTGCTGGGGTAGTTACAAATGGACAACAGTATCATTGCCATTCGCTGGTGTTTCGTTCCTCTGCCTGTGGTGTGCTGCTGTGTGGGTGGAGAAGGGATATTTCTGCACCCATGATTGGTTTCTTAGCTGCTCCAGAGAGCATGCAGGCACTCCTGATTGTGGAACAGTAATTGGCCAAATCTCTCTCTCTGAACTGACACTACCCCACATCCTGTCACACTCAGCTTCTCAAACTGGAGGTAAGTGGTAGAGCAGTGTGTGACAGTTTCTCAGCTGGGAAAATAGTTGGGGGTCACAGAGAAAAAAACAAACACCAGCTCACGTCTCACTTTGCTGTTGGCATGTTGTATACATATGTCTGCGTGTGTCGGTGAGAGAGAGAGAAAGTAGCTTCTTCTCTTTCAGATCCCCTCCATTAAGTACACAGACATGACTGCCTTTAATCAAGACTATGAGTATGAGATCTGGCTCCATTGCTTGATTGCCATTCAAGGCCACTTGCTACCACCCAGGGTCTGAGTGCTCAAGAGAGCAGGCCAGATACAGGGATGTAAATACAGATTTCCTCATAGGTCTGCTGGACAGACAGCACCTCCTCTGCTTGATCTCATCCCAGAAAGTGAGGGACTTAAATGAACTGAATTTGGAATGAACCACAGTCACATAGGCAACACTGTAGGAGGCAGTTCCTTGCACATCCTGTGGTGTACTGCACACCTGTCAGAGACTTCCATTAAAAAGGAGCCTTGTTTAATTAATTTGCCCCCAAATCTAGATGAGGACAAAAAAATAAACCAGGCCAAAAACTCTGTCCAATTCTAACCCCCTTGCCAGGTTTCAATTAATTTCCTGAAAGGACTCCTCAGTGGGGAAGAAGCAGCAGGGTATGTTTGTATGTAAAAAAAAAAAAAAAAAAAAAAAAATTTGTGTTGGTTTGATCTCCTTGGGGCTTATGCCTTCACTTAGATATGGGGACAGGAAGAAATTTTGGAGCATGGGGTGTTTTTCTTTTTGCTTTTTGTGTTGTGTTCTAGGTGGAGAGTAGGTAGAGCACTAGAAGCAGAAAGTGAGTGACTATAAAGAAATGGAATTGATGGATCTAGTTTCACTGCTCAGGGGAACAAAGTAGAAAGGCAAAGTACATCCCTGATGACAAGTAAAATTTTATTCTTCCAAACTGTAACAGGGTGCCTCCTCATCAGGTCTTTGCTGGCCACCCTGCTTCTGGGGTAACTGCCCGCTTCTTTTGTCTGCCATACCTTGATGGAAAAATGAGAGTTGTTACTAAGGCGGGAGACTACCCGTTACTCACCCTGCTGACAAGGGTAATACCCACTCTGACCTCCCCTCCACAGGTCCCATGCCTCGCAGATGTTACTCTGGTGTTACTTTTCTGGCCTATGGCCAGAAGTGGGCACATAATTGTAGCTCTTTTCTACAGCCCCAGAGGGCCACTCGCACACTACCCCTCTCTCACCAGGGTCCCACTCACTCTGCTGGCTCTCACCCAGCCTCTTTCATACTGCCGTCTCTCAGAGCCACACTCATCCTGCCCAGCCTCACCTGGCTTCGGGCTTAGTTCTCCTCACCTTGGTGAGCCCCGGTGCAGTCTGTTGGGTGTCTCCCACTACCCTCACCTGAGCATTGACTGAGCAGTCGAACAACTGTAGGCCTATTTTGGCTACTGACCCCTCACTGAGCCACTATGCCCCCACTGGGCCTCCTCACTCACCCACACTCATGGGGCCACTCTAATCATCGCCCTTCTCACTCAGGGTCTTTCTGCTAGTCACCAGGTGTTCCCTGATGCCTGGGCATGACCCCATGTCTCTCCTCTGGCCTGAGCTCTGCCTCAGGACTCCTTAACGAACCCTGGACTTCCCCTGCTTGTTAGAACACCACCAGGGATGTGGGGCTGAGGTTATGAGGTGCCCCAACCCGCCTTTCACCTGGGAGGTCACTGGCCTGGCATGTCCTGGGGGCTCCCATGACACTAGGAGCCCCACCTGACCACCCTTCCCTGGCAGGGTGCAGTTCTATGTCTTACCCAGGACAAGGGGTCACCTCCACCCCATAGCTCGTGCCCTTACCTCCTGATCAGGCCAGAGCAGCCACTTAGCCTGCTGTTACCTCCTTCCTCCTGCAGCAAACTGCAGCCCAGCTTCTATCCCTGGGTCCACCATGGCAGTTCTCATCAGGCACCTGGCTGCTGCCTGTTTTCTGCTCTTAAAGCAGCAGGCACCAAAGGTGCCCTGCCACACTGACTTTATCACTGTAGTTCCTGTGGCATCACAAAAATGGGGAAGGGACCTCTTAACCATTTGTGCTGGAAGTGGACAGCACTGCCTCAGTTTCCAAAGATTGTAATGGCCTTCTGCTGTAATAGCAGCCTAAAGGTAATGTTATTCTAATAAGTGACTGCCCTTTTTTCCTTTAGCAAACATTGATTTCCCTCCCTGTTCTGAATGCAGCTGAATTAACAAAGCTGGTTTTGTTTGAACGACAATGATTTGTCTCATGTCTTGTGCCAAATCATCTTACTTAGCAAATCAACATCTGGGATTAATGTTCTCTCTTTTACTTGTGACAAAACAATAGCAGCAACCAAATCACACTATTTTTGATGGTCCTACAGAAATAGAGACTACTTCTGATTTTAATTTCCTGGACTAAATTGGTTGCTATATAGTTTAAATAGAACTGGGAGGGAGTGGAAGGGATCTAGTTATTTTAAATGAGGTGGATTTTCAGTGTTGTGCCTCTGAGGGGATAGCACATACAACTGAGGCTTAAATAGCTTTGAAAGTGAGTGAGAGAAAGAGGTTTAATTAAACACAGTGAAGTACTAGTTGGATTCTATAGCATAGGCCAGTGAAAACAATCATCTTCAGAGACTAAATGAATCTCCTAAACTCTCATATGCAGCATTTTGTACATGATTCATCTGTGTTGACTGTGTTCTCAAGCAGAATACAGCTTTCACCCACACTTCAGGATGACTTAGTGTTTATAGCACAGCTCTGGCCATTTCATTAGGATTCTCACTTGTCTGTCACTGTGGTGTCCAAAGCTCTGCCCCCTATGCCCACTCTGAGCTTCAAGCACTGTAAATGCTTGCAATTTTGTCAGGAGCTTCATAACGTTTTGTGGGTTTTCCTGGAGTCATGTGATCACCCAAGACACAAACCTGTAATTTTATTGACATGAATTTCAAACCCTCCTTGCTATGAGGAAAAGCTGGGGAATGTGACTGTTAAGAGCTCCTGAAAGAAGGCATATAAAAAAGAATGGTGGTAGTTGGTTTAAGTAAATTCTCCTGATTACTCATTAAAGATCCTGATGTTTTGATGCATAGGGTTTGCACTACTGAGCTCCACGTGAGAGTGTGGTGTGAGGCTGCAGCACTTGGCTTTTGCTGAGATTCTGTTCCCTCCTTGGGCAAATCCATTACCTTAGCTATAAACTTGGTAACAGCCCTGGCATCCCCAGCAGAGGTAGACTGAGAAATGCTTTGAATTCTTATTAAGGGGCCAGGCTGCAAAAGCTTATAATTTCTCATTGATTTTAAAGATTAAATCAAATGTACATTATTATTCCTTAATTGTCATAAATAATTAATTACGGTTTTGCTTTTCAGTTGTGCTAGTGAAACCCCATGAGCTACAACCTGTTGCTTTGGATTAGAATGATAATGCAGGTTCTTCCTGGCACCCAGTCCTTTCTTTCTGGACCACGTGTAGCCCCTTTTGCATTCCTTCAACTTCTTGTTTTCAACTGTGGTGCGTGGCTGCTGTTACATCCTGGATGTAGATGCATTTTGGCAGAGGGTGGATAACTGTAGGGAAGCGGGTGGCAGACTGAAAGGTGGTGTGTTCTAGTGGCTGTAAGGGACTGGGAGGTGGTGTTAAGGGTGGATCGGGGGTGAGGGGGTGCAAGTGCACCCCCACCCCTCTTTTAATTCCTCCTCCACCCAAAGTTTAAAACCAAGTGCCTGGCAGTGGCAGCAGCATTTCTAGTTGGGATCAGGTAAATTACACTCAGCCACAGACACCCTCAGCAGTGCCCGTCTCATTCATTCCACAGGTGTCAATGACCCTCTCTCTTCTTGTCTTGACATTCCACCCACCAAGCCAGCCTTCGCTCTGCCATTCTGCTGTGAGCTGCTCCTAGTAATGTGGCAGCTTGTTTTTAACTTATTCCAATTAAGTGATATTTGTTTTTGCTTCAATCTTAAACCAGATAACACAGCCCTACATCCCTGGCATGTTAGTAAAGGTTCTAGTTTCTTTTCGACAGAGAAAAATAGGCAGTGTGTGATCTGCACCCTGCTCTTCAGAGCTCCAGCTCTGCCCGTGGCAGGGGCTGCTGCTGGGGCCTGATGCTTTGGGGGCTGGGGCACAGGACTTGAGCAGAGGCTGAGGGAACTGGGCTTACTTTTTTAGTCTGCAGAAGAGGAGACTGAGAGGGATTTTAATAGCAGCCTTCAGCTACCTGAAGGGGGTTCAAAAGAGGATGGAGGTAGACTGGTCTGAGTGGTGGCAGATGATGGAACAAGGAGCAACAGTTTCAAGTTGCAGGGAGGGAAGTTTAGGGTGGATAGTAGGAAAAACTTTCTCGGGAGGAGGGTGGTGAAGCATTGGGCCAGGTTCCCCAGAGAGGTGGCGGAGTCTCCAGCCTTGGGGGGGGGTGGTGTTTAAGACCTGTCTACAAAGCCGTGGTTGGGGAGGGCTCTCTTTTGAGCAGGGGCGGGTCACTCGATGGCCGCCGGAGGTCCCTTCCCACCCTCACTTCCTCTGTGCTCCGGGCTTGTCCGTCGGGGACGAGGGGCTGAGAGGGGGCGCGGG